TCGAATCCCCCCAATGTCCCCAAATCCCTAAAAGTCCCCAAAGTCCCCAAATCCCCCCAAAGTCCCCAAATCCCCCCAAAGTCCCCAAATGTCCCCAAATCCCCCCAAAGTCCCCAAATGTCCCTTAATCCCCCCAAAACGTCCCCACAGCTGCAGATCTGGTTCAGCGATCCCCAAATCCCCCCAAAGTCCCGAAATCCCCAAATGTCCCCAAATCCTCCCAAATGTCCCCAAATTCCCCAATCCCAAAACATCCCCAAATCCCCCAAAGTCCCCAAATCTCTCCAATCTCCCAAATGTCCCCAAATGTCCCTAAATTTCTCAAATCCCCCAAAGTCCCCAAATGTCCCTAAATCTCCCAAATCCCCCCAAAGTCCCCAAAAGTCCCCAAAGTCCCCAAATCCTCCCAAATGTCCCCAAATTCCCCAATCCCAAAACGTCCCCAAATCCCTTCATTTCCCCAAATCCCCCCAAATGTCCCCAAAGTCCCCAAATGTCCCTAAATCTCCCAAATCCCCCTAAAATCCCCAAATCCTCCCAAGTCCCCAAATGTCCCCAAAATCCCCCAAAGTCCCCAAATGTCCCCAAATCTCTCGAATCCCCCCGATGTCCCCAAATCCCTAAAAGTCCCCAAATGTCCCCAAATCCCCCCAAAGTCCCCAAATGTCCCCAAATTCCCCCAATCCCCCCAATGTCCCCAAATCCCTAAAAGTCCCCAAAGTCCCCAAATCTCTCGAATCCCCCCGATGTCCCCAAATTCCCCCAATCCCCCAAATGTCCCCAAATGTCCCTAAATCCCCCCGAATGTCCCCAAACGGCCCCAAAACGTCCCCCCAGCTGCAGATCTGGTTCAGCGAGCGCGACCTGGAGCGAACCTTCTGCTACCCCTCGGAGGGGGCGGCGCTGGCGGCCTGGGGGGGACCCCCCGAGGACCCCCCCGGGACCCCCCCGAACCCCACGGGACCCCCCGGGACCCCCCGGGACCCCCCAGGACCCCCGGGACCCCCGGAGGAGGAGGAGGAGGAGGAGGAGGAGGAGCCCCCTCCCCCCATGGCGGGGGGGCTGCGGGGCCGCGCTCTGCTCGTGGGTGGGTGTGGGGAGGGGGATTTGGGGGGATTTGGGGAGAATTTGGGGGGATTTTGGGGGTTTTGGGGGAATTTCAGGGGAATTTGGGGGATTTTCGGGGATTTTGGGGGGTTTTGGGCAAAATTTGGGGGAATTTTGGGGGGATTTTGGGGAAAATTTGGGGGAATTTTGGGGGGATTTTTGGGGGATTTTGGGAGGTTTTGGGGAGAATTTAGGGGATTTCGGGGGGAATATTGGGGATTTTGGGGGGGATTTGGGGAGAATTTCAGGGATTTGGGGGAGAATTTGGGGGAATTTTTGGGGGATTTCGGGGAGAATTTGGGGGAATTTGGGGGGGTCAGGGGGAGATTTGGGGGATTTTGAGGGATATTTTATGGGGGGGATTTTGGGGAGTTTGGAGGGGTTTTGGTCAGTTTGGGGAGGAAATACGGGGGGATTTGAGGGAGATTTGGGGTCTTAAGAAGGAATTTTGGGGGGGAGTTTGGGGGGATTTTGGGGAGATTTGGGGGGATTTTGAGGGGTTTGGGAAGGGATTTGGGAGTTTTGGGGGATTTGCGAAAGGATTTGGGGGGTTTGGGGGCAATTTGGGGGGATTTTGGGGGTCTTGGGAAGGGGTTTGGGGGATTTCAGGAGGTTTTTAGGGAATTTGGGAAGGGATTTGGGCAGATTTCGAGGGGGATTTGGGGTTCTGGGGGTTTTCAGTGTAATTTTTTTGTGAGGTAATTTTGGTAAATTTTGGGGTCATTCGAGGCTATCCTGGGGGGTCCCTAACCCATCTCCCCCTCCCCAGATGAATCCTGCCGTCGGTAACCCCGGCCCAGCCCCCCCGGGACCCCCCGGAGGGGCCGGACACTCGGACAGGGCCGGACACACGGACAGACAGAACCCCCCAAACCTTTGGGGGGAGGTTCCGGAACATTCCACACACCCCCCCCCCCCGGCAGGGTCTGGGGGGGCTTTTTTTGGTGTTTTTTTTACCCAATTTTGTAGATTTTTAGTACCGGGGAGGTTTTTTTAATTATCCCTAACGAGGTTTTTTTTAGCCTAATGAAGGGGTTTTGTACTTTGGGGGTGGGCGGAATTTTGTCAGTATTCGCTCCCAGTTTGGACTGGGCCTGGACCAGTTTGGACAGGAAGGGGCGGGGCCAAAGCCGTGGCAGTATTTGGGGAGGGGGGGAGGGGGCGAAGCTGCTTTGAAGGGGGGGTTGGGGGGATGGGGAGGGGCAGATTTGGGGGAGGAGGGGGCAAAAATGGCACGGGATGGAGTAGGCCGAAGCCTTTGGCCTAGTCTTGTTGCCGCAGCAACGAAGCCTGCGGCCTGTGTACTGCCAAGGCCTGCTTTGGTCACCATGACAACAAAGCCTGCGGCCTGTGTACTGCTAAGGCCTGCTCCTGTTGCTATGGTAACAAAGCCTGCGGCCTGTGTACGGCCAAGGCCTGCTCCTGTTGCTATGGTAATTAAGCCTGCAGCCTGTATACTGCCAAGGCCTGCTTTGGTCGCCATGGCAACGAAGCCTGCAGCCTGTGTACTGCTAAGGCCTGTGCCTGTCACCATGGCAACAGTCTAAAGGCTGTGGCCTGCTCCTGTTGCTATGGTTACAAAGCCTGCGGCCTGTGTACTGCTAAGGCCTGCTTTGGTCGCCATGACAACAAAGCCTGTGGCCTGTGTACTGCTAAGGCCTGCTTTGGTCGCCATGGCAACGAAGCCTGCGGCCTGTGTACTGCTAAGGCCTGTACCTGTCACCATGGCAACAGTCTAAAGGCTGTGGCCTCCTCCTGTTGCTATGGTAACGAAGCCTGCGGCCTGTGTACTCCCATGGCCTGCTCCTGTCACCATGGTAATGAAGCCTGTGGCCTGCCTACTCCCAAGGCCTGTTCCTGTTGCTGCGGAAACGAAGCCTGCGGCCTGCTTCTGTCGCCATGGCAACGAAGCCTGCGGCCTACCTACTCCCAAGGCCCGCTCCCGTTGCCATGGCAATGCTGCTTGTATAGCGACAGTGACAATAAACGCCGATGTCGGCTGTTGTGACCCTGGCTGGTGATGGGGGAGTGGCCAAGGGGGAAATGGGAAAAATACGGGAAATCCACCCAAAAATAATAAAAAAAGGGCAAAAAAGTGTCCAAAAAGGCCTCACAAAAAGGTTAAATAAGGGTCCAAAAAAAGCCTAAAAAAAGGTGAAAAAAGGCCTCAAAAATGCTAAAAAATGGTTAAAAAGAGACTCAAAAAAAGGATTTAAAAGGCCCAAAAAGGCCTCAAAAAAAGGTTTAAAAAAGGTTGAAAAAGGCCGCAAAAAAAGGTTAAAAATGGGTTCCAAAAAGGCTAAAAATGGTCAAAAAGAGCCTCAAAAAAAGGTTTAAAAAGGGTCTAAAAATACTTTTTAAAAAGGTAAAAAAGGCCCTCAAAAAAGGCTTAGAACGGGTCAAAAAATACATCAACAAAAAAGGGTCAAAAAAGAGCCTCAAATATGGGATTTTTTTCATTATTAAAGGGAGTTTTTAGGGGGAAAATGGGATTTTGGGTGGAAAAAAAGGATTTTCTGTGTGAAAAAAAATTGATTTTATTGGAAAAAAAGGAGAATTTTTAAGGGGAAAATTGAGTTTCCAAGAAAAATAAGTGGATTTATTTAAAATTTGGGTGTTCCAAAGAGGGAAGAATTGAGTTTATGTGGAATTTAGGAATTTTTTTTTTTTCTGAGAAAAATAAAATTATCTGGGGAGAAAATGTAATTTTTTGGTAAAATGGTGATTTTTGTGAAGGGTTTTTTTTAGGGAGAAAAAAGGTTTTTAGGGAAAAATTGAAATTTTGATAAAGAAACGGGAAATTTTTGAGGTAAAAATCATTTTAAAACCGAAACAAAACGCAAAATTCACAATTAAAAAAAAAAATTAAATTACAAAAATCCGGAATTTCGAGCCCGAAAATCAGCCCCGCCCCTCCCTCACCGCCGGTAATTAAATCCCCCCACCATTAATGAGGGGAGGAAGATGATGATGATGAAGATGACCGTGGTCACTCAATGTCCGGTGGTCACTCAGCAGTGGTGGTCAGTGATGATGATGATGATGATGATGATGATGAAGATGATGAAGATGACCATGGTCACTGCAGGGCCCCGTGGTCACTCAATGTCCAGTTCAGGTGGCTGAAGGGTGGTCAGGGATGATGATGATGATGATGATGATGATGATGATGATGATGATGGTCACTCAGTGTCCGGACAAAGGGGTGGTCAGTGATGAAGATGATGAAGATGATGGTGAGGGTCACTCAGTGTCCAGTGGTCACTCAGGGTCTAGTTCAGTCGATCAAAGGGGTGGTCAGTGATGATGATGATGATGATGAAGATGACTGCGGTCACTCGGTGGGTGGTCAGTGATGATGATGATGATGATGAAGATGATGAAGATGACCGCGGTCACTCCAGGGCCCCGTGGTCACTCAGGGTCCGGTGCAGGTGACCAAAGGGTGGTCAGTGATGATGATGATGATGATGAAGATGATGATGAAGATGACGATGACCGCGGTCACTCCAGGGCCCCGTGGTCACTCCAGGGCCCCGTGGTCACTCCAGGGCCCCGTGGTCACTCAGGGTCCGGTGCAGGTGACCAAAGGGGTGGTCAATGATGATGATGAAGATGATGAAGATGATGAAGATGACGATGATGAAGATGACCATGGTCACTCGGTGGGTGGTCAGTGATGATGATGATGATGAAGATGACCGCGGTCACTCAGTGGGTGGTCAGTGATGATGATGATGATGATGAAGATGATGATGATGAAGATGAGCATGGTCACTCAGTGTCCAGTTCAGTCGATCAAAGGGGTGGTCAGTGATGAAGATGAAGATGATGAAGATGATGAAGATGATGAAGATGATGAAGATGACCGCAGTCACTCCAGGGCCCCGTGGTCACTCCAGGGCCCCGTGGTCACTCAGGGTCCGGTGCAGGTGGCCGAAGTCCGGCCGCTCGGCCGCCTCGCGGGCCCAGCAGTTCAACATCAGCCGGTGCAGGGCCGGGGGGCAGCCAGGGGGACAGGGCAGGTACTGCTGGAACTGGGGTTACTGGGATGGACTGGGAGGGACTGGGAGGGACTGGGATGGACTGGGAGGGACTGGGATGGACTGGGATGGACTGGGAATGGACTGGGAGGGACTGGGATGGGATTGGGAGGGACTGGGAGGGACTGGGAGGGAACTGGGATGGACTTGGAGGGACTGGGAGGGAACTGGGAGGGACTGGGATGGACTGGGATGGACTGGGATGGACTGGGAGGGAACTGGGAGGGACTGGGATGGACTGGGAGAGACTGGATGGACTGGGATGGACTGGGAGGGACTGGGATGGGATTGGGATGGACTGGGAGGGACTGGGATGGACTGGGAGGGACTGGGATGGACTGGGATGGACTGGGAGGGACTGGGAGGGACTGGGATGGACTGGGAGGGACTGGGAGGGAACTGGGACAGGGATAACTGGACCCAATCACCCCTGCCCAGTAGCTCCCAGTTCCCTCCCAGTTCCCCTCAAATCCCTCCCAGTCCCTCCCAATCCCATCCCAGTCCACCCCAGTGCCTCCCAGTTCACTCCCAGTCCCTCCCAGTGTGTCCCAGTCCCATCCCAGTTCAATCCCAGTGTGTCCCAGTCCATTCCCAGTCACTTCCAGTGCCTCATAACCCCCTCTAAACAGCTCCCAGTGCCTCCCAGTTCATTCCCAGTCAATCCCAGTCCATTCCCAATCCCCTCCCAGTCCCTCCCAGTCCACCCCAGTCCATTCCAGTCCCCCTCAAATCCCTCCAGTCCCCTCCCAGTCCCTCCCAGTGCCTCCCAGTTCATTCCCAGTCAATCCCAGTCCCTCCCAATCCCCTCCCAGTGCCTCCCAGTCCAATCCCAGTTCATTCCCAGTCAATCCCAGTCCACCCCCAGTGCCTCCCAGTGCCTCCCAGTTGCCTCCCAGTCAATCCCAGTCCATTTCCACTCTATCCCGATCCCCTCCCAGTCCCTCCCAATCCCTCCCAGTCCATCCCAGTCCATCCCAGTCCCCTCCCAGTCCCTCCCAGTCCATCCCAGTCCCCTCCCAGTCCATCCCAGTCCACTCCCAGTGCCTCCCAGTTGCCTTCCAGTCTGTCCCAGTCCATTCCCACTCTACCCCAATCCCCTCCCAGTCCCTCCCAGTCCATTCCAGTCCCTCCCAATCCCTCCCAAACCCCTCCCAGTCTGTCCCAGTCCCTCCCAGTCCATCCCAGTCTGTCCCAGTCCATTCCAGTCGCCCTCAAATCCCTCCAAACCCCTCCCAGTTCCCTCCCAAACCCCTCCCAGTCCCTCCCAATCCCCTCCCAATCCCTCCCAGTCCATCCCAGTCCCTCCCAGTCCCTCCCAATCCCCTCCCAGTCCCTCCCAATCCCCTCCCAATCCCCTCCCAGTCCATCCCAGTCCCTCCCAGTCCATCCCAATCCCCTCCCAGTCCCTCCCAGTCCCTCCCAATCCCCTCCCAGTCCCTCCCAGTCCCTCCCAGTCCCACCTGCTGCCCGCGGTTCTGGAAGTGGTGCCCGGCGTTGGCGATCACCTGCTCGTCGCTCAGGGCCCCGTACGGCTGCTCCCGGCAGCGCGTCAGAACCTCCCACAGCGTCACCCCGAAGGCCCAGGCGTCGCTGGCCGGGCTGAAAGTTCCCTAAAATCCCAAATTTGGGGAATTTTGGGAATTTTTGGGAATTTTTTGGGAATTTTTTTGGAGTTTTTAGGCGTTTTTGGGGCGTCGGAAAGTGGAAATTTGGGGTTTCAGGAGCTCCCACAGCGTCACCCCGAAGGCCCAGGCGTCGCTGGCCGGGCTGAACGTGCCCTAAAATCCCAAATTTGGGGAATTTTGGGAATTTTTGGGAATTTTTTGGGATTTTTTTGGGGGTTTTTAGGCGTTTTTGGGGCGTCGGAAAGTGGAAATTTGGGGTTTCAGGAGCTCCCACAGCGTCACCCCAAAGGCCCAGGCGTCGCTGGCCGGGCTGAACGTTCCCTAAAATCCCAAATTTTGGGAATGTGGGGATTTTTTGGGAATTTTTTGGGAATTTTTTTGGAGTTTTCAGGCGTTTTTGGGGCGTCGGAAAGTGGAAATTTGGGGTTTTAGGAGCGTCACCCCGAAGGCCCAGGCGTCGCTGGCCGGGCTGAAAGTTCCCTAAAATCCCAAATTTTGGGGATTTTGGGAATTTTTGGGGATTTTTGGGGGATTTTTGGGGAATTTTTTGGGAGTTTTTAGGCGTTTTCGGGAAGTCGGGAAGTCCAAATTTGGGGTTTCAGGAGCTCCCACAGCGTCACCCCCGAAGGCCCAGGCGTCGCTGGCTGGGCTGAAAGTTCCCTAAAATCCCAAATTTTTGGAATTTCGGGAATTTTGGGGAAGTTTTTTGGGAATTTTTTGGGAATTTTTTTGGAATTTTTGGGAATTTTTTTGAGTTTTTAGGCGTTTTTAGGAAGTCAGGAAGTGGAAATTTGGGGTTTTGGGAGCTCCCACAGCGTCACCGGCTGGGCTGAAAGTTCCCTAAAATCCCAAATTTTGGGAATTTTGGGGAATGTTGAGGATTTTTGGGGAATTTTTTGGGAATTTTTGGGGAGTTTTTGGGAGTTTTTAGGAAGTTGGAAAGTGGAAATTTGGGGTTTCAGGAGCTGGCTGGGCTCAACGTGCCCTGGAATCCCAAAGTTGGAAATTTCCCCCATTTTTTCCTTGTTTTCAATTTTCCCCCAAACCCTCAATTTTTTTCCCAAATAATCCCAATAATTTTGCAATTTTTTGCCCCCCCAAAAATCCATTTTTTTTTTCCAAAAAAAAATCCAATTTTTTTCCAATTTTCACCCAAAAAAAAATCCCATTTTTTACCCAAAAATTCCCATTTTTCGCCAAAAATCCCAATTTTTTCCCATTTTTTCCCCAAAACCCCAATTTTCCCTCCTAAATCCATTCCTTCTCCAAAAACCTCAATTTCCACCAATTCCTTTCCCATTCCCCCCAAAAAATCCCATTTTCCCCACCAAAAATTCCCATTTTTCGCCAAAAATTCCCATTTTTTACCCAAAAATCCAATTTCCACCCAATTTTTCCTCCTAAATCCATTCCTTCTCCAAAAACCTCAATTTCCCCCAATTCCTTTCCCATTCCTCCCAAAAAACCCCCATTTCCCCACCAAAAATCCCATTTTTTTCGCCAAAAATCCCAATTTTTTCCCGTTTTTTCCCAAAAATCCCAATTTTTCTCATTTTTTCCCCAATTTTCCCTCCTAAATCCATTCCTTCTCCAAAAACCCCAATTTCCCCCAATTCCTTTCCCATTCCCCCCAAAAAACTCCATTTTCCACCAAAAAAACCCCATTTTTTCACCAAAAAAATCCCATTTTTTTCGCCAAAAAATCCCATTTTTTTTCAATTTTTTCCCAAAATCTCCCATTTTTTCCCCAAAGCTCACCCAGAGGATGCTCTCCCAGGCCATCCAGCGGATGGGCAGCAGCGCCCGGCCGCGCACCCCGGCAGTACTCGGTGCCGTAGAGGCTCCGGCTCATCCCAAAATCCCAATTTCCCCCAAATTTCCCCTTTTTTCCCCTAAAATCCAATTCACCCCCCAAACCCCCCAATTCTTCCTCCCATTTTTCCTTCCAAAACCCAAATTTCTCTATGAATTTTCCCCCATTTTTCCCCTTTTTGCTTTCCAGGTTTTTCTCATTTTTTCACCATTTTCCCCATTTTTCACCATTTTCCCAATTTTTCCCCATTTTCCCAATTTTTCAACATTTTCCCCAATTTTTCCCATTTTTCCACCATTTCCTCCCCCAAATCCCCTTCTCCTTCCAATTTCCCCCAAAATCCAATTCCCCTCCATTTTCTTCCCATCTTTCCCTGGTTGTCCCCAAAAAATCCCAATTTTTTCCCGTTTTTTCCCAAAAATCCCAATTTTTCCCATTCCTCCCCTTTTTTCCCACTTTTTTCCCCCAAAAAATCCCATTTTTTTCCATTAGCCCCAAAATCCTGATTATTTCCCAAATTCTTTCCCAATTTTTTATCCCAAAAAACCCAAATTTTTTCCATTTCCCCCAAAAATCCCATTTTTTCACCATTTTCCCCATTTTTCCCATTTTTTCCCAAAAAACCCCACTTTTTCCCCAATTTTCCCTCCTAAATCCATTCCTTCTCCAAAAACCTCAATTTCCCCCAATTCCTTTCCCATTCCTCCCAAAAAAACTCCATTTTCCACCAAAAAAACCCCATTTTTAACCCAAAAAACCCCATTTTTTCGCCAAAAAATCCCATTTTTTTTCAATTTTTTCCCAAAATCTCCCATTTTCTCCCCAAAGCTCACCCAGAGGATGCTCTCCCAGGCCATCCAGCGGATGGGCAGCAGCGCCCGGCCGCGCACCCGGCAGTACTCGGTGCCGTAGAGGCTCCGGCTCATCCCAAAATCCCAATTTCCCCCCAAACTTCCCCCAAAACCCCAAATTTCCCCTTTTTTCCCCTAAAATCCAATTCACCCTCCAAGACCCCAATTCTTCCTCCCATTTTTCCTTCCAAAACCCAAATTTCTCGATGAATTTTCCCCCATTTTTCCCCTTTTTGCTTTCCAGGTTTTTCTCATTTTTTCACCATTTTTTCCCCCATTTTCCCCAATTTTCCCCAATTTTTCCCATTTTCCCACCATTTTCTTCCCCAAATCCCATTCTCCTTCCAACTTTCCCCCCAAAATCCAATTCCCCTCCATTTTCTTCCCATCCTTCCCCAATTTTCCCCCAAAATTCCCAATTTTTTTCCCGTTTTTTTGCCAAAAATCCCAATTTTTTCCATTTTTTCCCCAATTTTCCCTCCTAAATCCATTCCTTCTCCAAAAACCTCAATTTCCACCAATTCCTTTCCCATTCCCCCCCAAAAAAACCCCATTTCCCCACCAAAAATCCCAATTTTTTCCCGTTTTTTCCCAAAAATCCCAATTTTTTCCATTTTTTCCCCAATTTTCCCTCCTAAATCCATTCCTTCTCCAAAAACCTCAATTTCCCCCAATTCCTTTCCCATTCCCCCCAAAAAATCCCATTTTCCCCACCAAAAAAACCCCATTTTTCGCCAAAAAAACCCCATTTTTTACCCAAAAAACCCCATTTTTTCGCCAAAAATTCGAATTTTTTCCCATTTTTTTCGGGTTTTTTCCCAAAATCTCCCATTTTTTCCCCAAAGCTCACCCAGAGGATGCTCTCCCAGGCCATCCAGCGGATGGGCAGCAGCGCCCGGCCGCGCACCCGGCAGTACTCGGTGCCGTAGAGGCTCCGGCTCATCCCAAAATCCCAATTTCCCCCCAAACTTCCCCCAAAACCCCAAATTTCCCCTTTTTTCCCCTAAAATCCAATTCACCCTCCAAGACCCCAATTCTTCCTCCCATTTTTCCTTCCAAAACCCAAATTTCTCGATGAATTTTCCCCCATTTTTCCCCTTTTTGCTTTCCAGGTTTTTCTCATTTTTTCACCATTTTTTCCCCCATTTTCCCCAATTTTCCCCAATTTTTCCCATTTTCCCACCATTTTCTTCCCCAAATCCCATTCTCCTTCCAACTTTCCCCCCAAAATCCAATTCCCCTCCATTTTCTTCCCATCCTTCCCCAATTTTCCCCCAAAATTCCCAATTTTTTTCCCGTTTTTTTGCCAAAAATCCCAATTTTTTCCATTTTTTCCCCAATTTTCCCTCCTAAATCCATTCCTTCTCCAAAAACCTCAATTTCCACCAATTCCTTTCCCATTCCCCCCCAAAAAAACCCCATTTCCCCACCAAAAATCCCAATTTTTTCCCGTTTTTTCCCAAAAATCCCAATTTTTTCCATTTTTTCCCCAATTTTCCCTCCTAAATCCATTCCTTCTCCAAAAACCTCAATTTCCCCCAATTCCTTTCCCATTCCCCCCAAAAAATCCCATTTTCCCCACCAAAAAAACCCCATTTTTCGCCAAAAAAACCCCATTTTTTACCCAAAAAACCCCATTTTTTCGCCAAAAATTCGAATTTTTTCCCATTTTTTTCGGGTTTTTTCCCAAAATCTCCCATTTTTTCCCCAAAGCTCACCCAGAGGATGCTCTCCCAGGCCATCCAGCGGATGGGCAGCAGCGCCCGGCCGCGCACCCGGCAGTACTCGGTGCCGTAGAGGCTCCGGCTCATCCCAAAATCGGCCACTTTGACGCGCAGCCCCGGCCCCACCAGGCAGTTCCTGGTGGCCAGGTCCCGGTGCACGAAGTTCCGGGCGCTCAGGAAACGCATCCCAGACGCGATCTGGGCGCCCAACTGGACCAGCGTGGCCAGGCTGGGTGGGGGAAATTTGGGTTTTAGGGGTTTTGTAAAAAAATTTGGGTTTTTCCCCAAAAAAATCTGATTTTTTGGGGATTTTTGGTGGTTTTTTTCCCAAAAAAATGCGATTTTTCAGGGATTTTTTGTGGTTTTTTAATCCAAAAAAATGGCTTTTTTTCCCCAAAAAATGGCTCTTTTTCCCAAAAAAATCTGATTTTTCTAGGATTTTTTGTGGTTTTTTTCCCCAAAAAAATGGCTTTTTTTTTCCCCAAAAAAATCTGATTTTTCTGGGATTTTTTGCGGTTTTTTTACCAAAAAAATCTGATTTTTCTGGGATTTTTTGCATTTTTTTCCCCAAAAAAATGGCTTTTTTCCCCCAAAAAATCTGATTTTTCTGCAATTTTTTGTGGTTTTTTCCCTAAAAAAATCTGATTTTTCGGGGATTTTTTGCGTTTTTTTCCTCAAAAAAATGTCTTTTTTCCCCAAAAAAATCCGATTTTTCGGGGATTTTTTGTGGTTTTTTCCCAAAAAAATCTGATTTTTCGGGGATTTTTTGTAATTTTTTCCCCCCAAAAAATGGCTTTTTTCCCCCAAAAAATCTGATTTTCTACGATTATTTGTGGTTTTTTTCCTCAAAAAAATGTGATTTTTCTGGGATTTTTTGCGGTTTTTTCCCCAAAAAAATCTGATTTTTCTGGGATTTTTTGCGGTTTTTTTCCTCAAAAAAATGCGATTTTTCTGGGGTTATTCTCAGCTTTTTCTCCCCCCAAAAAATAGGGGTTTTTCCCCAAAAAAATTGCTTTTTTCCCCCCAAAAATCGGATTTTTCTGCATTTGGAGTGGGCGTGGCCCACCCAGGTGTGAGGGGATGTGGGCGTGTCCTTTTCTTCGTGATGGGCGTGGCTTAATTATGGAGTGGCTTCTCTTAAAGGGCCAGAACCCCAAAAATGACAACACAAAATGATTTGAACTGGGCGCGGCCGCCGCGGGCGTGGCCCGGCCAGGTGTGAGGGGAATGTGGGCGTGGCCTTTTCTTCGTGGTGGGCGTGGCTTTAATCTGTCAGGGCTTCTCTTAAAGGGCCAGAACCCCCGAAATTACAGAAAACCCAACTCGGAATGGGCGCGGCCACAGCGGGCGTGGCCTGGCCAGGTGTGTGTGTATGTGGGCGTGTCCTTTCCTTCGTGGTGGGCGTGGCTTAATTCTATCAGGGCTTCTCTTAAAGGGCCAGAACCCCCAAAATTACAGAAAACCCAACTCGGAATGGGTGCGGCCACAGCGGGCGTGGCCTGGCCAGGTGTGTGTGTATGTGGGCGTGGCCTTTTCTTAGTGATGGGCGTGGCTTCTCTTAAAGGGCCAGAACCCCAAAAATGACAACACAAAATGATTTGAAGTGGGTGTGGCTGTAGTGAGCGTGGCCCAGCCAGGTGTGTGAGGATGTGGGCGTGGCCCTTTCTTGAGTGATGGGCGTGGCTTAATTACAGAGTGGCTTCTCTTAAAGGGCCAGAACCCCCAAAATTACAGAAAACCCAACTCGGAATGGGTGCGGCCACAGCGGGCGTGGCCCGGCCAGGTGTGTGTGTATGTGGGCGTGTCCCCACCTGAGGGCGTGTCCCCGGGCCCCGCCCAGGAACTGGTGGAGGTCTCCGTGCTCCATGTACTCGGTGACGATGCACAGGGGCCCGGACCCCCCGCACACGCCCAGCAGCCGCACGATGTTGGGGTCCCGCAGCCGCCACAGCGCCCGCGCCTCCTGCAGGAAATCGCGCCTGGGCGCGGCCGGGGGGACAGGTGAGGGCACCTGGGGGCACCTGGGGGCACCTGGGCACACCTGGGGATGCTCTGGGTACACCTGGGGATGCTCTGGGCACACCTGGGTACACCTGGGCACACCTGGGGATGCTCTGGGCACACCTGGGCATGACCTGGACACACCTGGGGATGCCCTGGGCACACCTGGGGATGCCCTGGGTGCTCCTGGGCACACCTGGGCACGCCCCAGTGCCAGGTGAGGGTGCCTGGGGGCACCTGGGCACACCTGGGGATGCTCTGGGTACACCTGGGGATGCTCTGGGGATGCTCTGGGTACACCTGGGGATGACCTGGGCACACCTGGGTACACCTGGGCACACCTGGGGATGCCCTGGGCACACCTGGGTACACCTGGGGATGCTCTGGGTACACCTGGGCATGACCTGGGCACACCTGGGGATGCTCTGGGGATGCTCTGGGCACACCTGGGTACACCTGGGCAGTACCTGGGCACACCTGGGGATGCTCTGGGCACACCTGGGGATGCTCTGGGCACACCTGGGGATGCTCTGGGGATGCCCTGGGTACACCTGGGGATGCTCTGGGCACACCTGGGGATGCCCTGGGCACACCCTGGGCACACCTGGGGATGTTCTGGGTACACCTGGGCACACCTGGACACACCTGGGGATGTTCTGGGCACACCTGGGGATGCCCTGGGCACACCTGGGTCCCTTTGGCCACCCTCCAGTACCCTCCTGACTCCTCCCAGTCCCTCCCAGTGCATCCCAGTATCCCCAAATCCCCATTTCCCATCAATTCTCCCTCCAAAATCCAAATTTTTCCCAATTTTCCCCCATTTCTTGCCCCAAACCCCTCTCCCAGTCCCTCCCAGTTCATTCCCAGTCCATTCCCAATCCCCCCCAGTCGCCCCCAGTCCATCCCAGTACCCGCCAGTCCCTCCCAGTCCATTCCCAATCCCTCCCAGTCCCTCCCAGTCCATCCCAGTTTCCCTACCGGGCGTTTTTGGTGGCGTCCGGCCTCAGCACCTTCACCGCCACCAGCTGGGGGCGCTCCGTGCCCGAGGGGGCGGGGCTTGAGCCGGGGGGCGGGGCCAGGCCCAGGGTGTGGGGGGCGATGACCTCACACAGCAGCACCTGGGGGTGGGGCCAAATGAAAGGGGGCGTGGCCAAACGCTCGAGGGTGCGGCCGATAGAAATGGGTGGGTGTTCAGAAATGGGGCGGGGCTAAGACACAAGGGGCGGGGCCTCAATGTGGGTGGGGACAAATATGTGAATGTGGGCATGGCTTCAAATGGGGTGGGTGTGGCCAAATTAATGGGGTGGAGCATTAAAAAGAGGCGGAGCCAATTCAATAAGGGACGCGGTTAATCCATAGTGGGCGTGGCCTTGCTAAGGGGCGGGGCTAAACCACACAGGGATGTGGCAAATAATTTAGAGGCGGGGCTAAAACCCTTTAGGGGCGTGTCTAAGACATAATGGGTGTGGTCTCATTGTGGGGGCGTGGCTTGATACCGGGGGCGTGGCTTACCTCTCCGAACTGCCCCTCCCCCAGCTTCTCCCGGAAGCGGAGGCGGTCCCGAGGGAAGGTGGGGAGGGCGGGGCCATGGGCGGGGCTGTGGGCGGGGCCAGCCAGGGCGTAGGCGGAGCCTCCGGTGACGTCAGCCTCGGCGTAAGCCCCCGCCCCCACCTCGGGCTCACCTGTGCAGGTGGGAGGGGCACAGGTGAGGTCATGGTGGGTGTGGCCAAAGTGGGCGTGGCCTTCCTTGAGCCTCACCCTTACCGTCGGTGTTGATTGGCTTGGCAGCATTGGGCGGGGCCAAGGCGAGGCCTCCTATTGGCTGGGCGTAGGTGGCCAGAAGAAGCCGATAGGCCGGGTTGGCTGGGGGGGTGTGGCCAGAGAGGGGCGTGGTCAGAGAGGGGGTGGGGGTTCCTCCTCCTCTTCCATTCCCGAGGGATTTTTTGGGCCAATTTTGAGCCTTTTCCTCATTCCCGGACTGAGTTTTTTTGCAGATTTCAGACAAAAATAAAACTGGGGGGAAAAAAATCCTCCCTCCCTCCTTTTTCCCCTCCCTTTTCCTCCTTTTTTCCCCCCTCTTTTTCACTTTCTTTCCCCTTTTTTTCCTTTTTTCTTTCCCCCCATTTTTTCCCTTTCCTCCTCCATTTTCCCCCTTTTTTCCTTTTATCTTTCCCCCGTTTTCCCCCTTTTTTCCCCTTTTTTCCCTTTTTTGCTCTCCTCTTTTTTCCCCCCTCTTCCCCTTTTTTCTTTTCCCCATTTTTACCCTATTTTGTCCCCATTTTCCCCCATTTTCCCCCTTTTCTCCCTATTTTCTTTTCCCTTTTTTTCCCGTTTTTGTTCTCCTCTTTCTTCCCCCCTCTTCCCCCATTTTTCCCTTTTTTCTTTTCCCATTTTCCCCTTTTTCCCCATTTTTTCCCCATTTTTCCCCTTTTTCCCCATTTTTTTCCATTTTCCCCCATTTTTTCCCCATTTTCCCCTCTCTCACCAGCCCCGGGGGGCACCGGTGCCAGTCGGGGCCGGGCCCGGGTGGGTTCCTGGTACTCCCCACTTCCGCTTCCGGTTCCACTTCCGGGTCCGATCCCACTTCCGGTTCCGGTTCCACTTCCGGTTCCGATCCTCTCGTAGCGGGGTCCCCCTCCCGTGGCGTTGTTGATGACCACGGTGTCCCCCGAGAGCTGCACCCGCAGCGCCGCCTCCGCCCCGCGGCCCTGACAACCGGGAAAAACCGGTAAAAACCAGTAAAAACCAGTAAAAAATAGTAAAAACCAGTTAGAACCAGTTAGAGCCCATTAGAGCCAGTTCGGACCAGTTAGAACTGGTTCAACCCCCCAGTTCTGACCCCGGTGTCCCCCGAGAGCTGCACCCGCAGCGCCGCCTCCGCCCCGCGGCCCTGACAACCGGGAAAAACCGGTAAAAACCAGTAAAAACCAGTAAAAAATAGTAAAAACCAGTAAGAACCAGTTAGAGCCCATTAGAACCAGTTCAGACCAGTTAGAACCAGTCCAGAGCAGTAGGAACCAGTTCAGGGCAGTAGGAACCAGTTCAGCCCCAATTTAGGGCTGTTAGAACTGGTTCAGACCATTAAAAACCAGTTAGAACCAGTTCTGAGCAATTAGAACCAGCACAGACCAGTAAAAACCAGTCCAGCCCCTCCCAATCCCTCCCAGTCCCTCCCAATCCCCTCCCAATCCCTCCCAGTTCCCCAAGTTCCCTCCCAGTCCCTCCCAGTTTGATCCCAGTCCCTCCCAGTCCATCCCAGTTTGATCCCAGTCCCTCCCAGTCCCTCCCAGTCCCCCCCAGTCCCTCCCAGTCCCTCCCAATCCCTCCCAACCCCGTCCCAATCCCTCCCAGTCCATCCCAGTCCTTCCCAATTTCCTCCCAGTCCCCCTTTAATCCCTCCCAGTCCCTCCCAGTCCCTCCCAATCCCCTCCCAGTCCCTCCCAGTTCCTCCCAATCCCTCCCAGTCCCTCCCAGTCCCTCCCAATCCCCTCCCAATCCCTCCCAGTCCTTCCCAGTCCCTCCCAGTCCTCCCAGTCCCTCCCAGTTTGATCCCAGTCCCTCCCAGTGACCTTGCCCATTGGCCCGGCCCCTCCACGCCGCAGGACGAGGATGACGATGGCGAGCAGGAGGAGGACGATGATGGCGCCCAGGCACCCCAGCAGCGCCGGCGGCTGCCCCGCCTCGCCCTGGGCCACGGGCGGGACCCCGGGGGCTGCTGGGAGGAGAGGGAGGCGTGGTGGCCACGCCCACCTCGGATAAGCCACGCCCGTTTAATTCCCACCCCCTAGAACCTTGCCAAATTAAGCCCCGCCCATTTACATGGTCGTTATTCTACACCCCGCCCAATTAAATCCCACCCACTTAACCCTCAGTTAAGCCACACCCCATTAGGCCACGCCCAATTAAACCCCACCCATGTAACCCTCAGTTAAGCCACACCCCCATTAAGCCCCGCCCAATTAAAACCCCACCCATTTAACCATCGGCTAAGCCACACCCCATTAGGCCACTCCCAATTAAACCCCACCCATTTAACCCTCAGTTAAGCCACACCCCATTAAGCCACGCCCGATTAAACCCCACCCCTTTAAGCCCCTCCCAATTAAGCCCCACCCACTTAATCTCCCATATTAAGCCCCTCCCAGTTAAGCCCCACCCACTAAATCCCATCCCAATTAAGCCCCACCCACTAAATCCAGTCCCAGTTAAGCCCCACCCACCCAAGCCCCTCCCAGTTAAGCCACACCCACTAAATTCCCTTCCCAGTTAAACCCCACCCACTAAATCCCATCCCAATTAAGCCCCACCCACTCAATCTCCCATATTAAGCCCCTCCCATTTAAACCACACCCATCTAAGCCCCGCCTACCCAAGCCGGTGACATTGGTGGCCCCGCCCCCGTCGCGGGCGTTTTCCAAGATGGCGGAGGAGGGGTCAGGGGTCGGGGGCCACCCGCTGGCACCCATGGGGTCGTCCAGCACCTCTGGGGGCGGGGACGGTCATTGATGACGTCATCAACGGTCAATGATGTCATCAACAGCCGATGACATCATCGGCAATAGCACCATGAACGATCAAAGGCGTTACCGTGAAATCGATGACGTCATTGATCGATGATGACCTCAGCAGTCAACCAATGATGTCATCACCCAACCATTGACCCCAACACCCAATGGATGACCCCATGACCCAACCATTGACCCCAACACCCAATGGTTGACCCCATGATCCAACTGTTGACCTCATGACCCAATGAATGACCCCAACACCCAACCATTGACCCCAACACCCAACCGTTGACCCCATGACCCAACCACGGACCCCAACACCCAATGGATGACCCCAATACCCAACCGTTGACCTCATGACCCAACCGTTGACCCCAACACCCAATGGATGACCCCATGACCCAACCGTTGACCCCATGACCCAATGGATGACCCCAACACCCAACCGTTGACCCCAACACCCAACCGTTGACCCCATTGACCCCGACACCCAACCGTTGACCCCCATGACCCAACCGTTGACCCCAACACCCAATGGATGACCCCATGATCCGACCATTGACCTCAACACCCAATGGATGACCCCAACACCCAACCCTTGACCCCAACACCCAACCAATGACCCCATGACCCAACCATTGACCCCAACACCCAACCATTGACCCCAACACCCAACCGTTGACCCCATGACCCAACCGTTGACCCCACCACCCCACCTGAGACGAAGGACACCTCGCTGAAGAGCATCCACTCGGCGCCGAAGAAGAAGCGGCACTGGATGAAGCGGGCGCGGCGCCCGCCCAAGGGGACGGTGACCGAGCGGGGCGCTGGGGTCCTTGGTGGCCCCGGCCAGGCTGTGGGTGACCACCAGGGGCTCCCAGGCCGTGGCCAGGACCTTCTTGAAGCGACACTCGGCCGCCCGGAAGATTCCGACGCCGCGCGTGTGGAGGTTGTTGCAGTGGACCTGGGAGGGGGCGGTGACGGGACATCCCATGATGCTCTGGGGCAAGGTGGCCAATCCTGACGTTCTCCAGAAGAACACCCCCGACCCCAAGATGGACTTGGCCTGGTGGCCACCCATTGGTCCATCCATGGCTTTCCAATCCCACAATCCCCACCATCCCATGATGCCCTGGGGCAAGGTGACCAATCCTGACGTTCTCCAGAAGAACATCCCTGACCCCAGGCTGGGCCTGACCTGGTGGCCACCCATTGGTCCATCCATAGCTGACCAATCCCACAATCCCCAGCATCCCACGTCTTCCATTTCCCACCTTCCCATGATGCCCTGGGGCAAGGTGACCAATCCTGAAGTTCTCCAGAAGAACATCCCTGACCCCGAGCTGGGCCTGACCTGGTGGCCACCCATTGGTCCATCCATGGCTTTCCAATCCCACAATCCCCAGCGTCCCACGTCTTCCATTTCCCACCTTCCCATGATGCCCTGGGGCAAGGTGACCAATCCTGACGTTCTCCAGAAGAACATCCCCGACCCCAGGATGGGCCTGACCTGGTGGCCACCCATTGGTCCATCCATGGCTGACCAATCCCACAATCCCCAGCATCCTAAATCTTCCATTTCTTCCATTTCCCACCATCCCATGATGCCCTGGGGCAAGGTGACCAATCCTGAAGTTCTCCAGAAGAACATCCCCGACCTCAAGATGGGCCTGACCTGGTGGCCACCCATTGGTCCATCCATAGCTGACCAATCCCACAATTCCCAGTGTCCAGTCCTCCAAGACACCCTTGGGACACCCATTTCCCACCATCCCATGATGCCCTGGGGCAAGGTGACCAATCCTGAAGTTCTCCAGAAGAACATCCCTGACCCCAAGCTGGGCCTGACCTGGTGGCCACCCATTGGTCCATCCATGGCTGACCAATCCCACAATCCCCAGCGTCCCACGTCTTCCATTTCCCACCTTCCCATGATGCCCTGGGGCAAGGTGACCAATCCTGACGTTCTCCAGAAGAACACCCCTGACCCCAGGATGGGCCTGACCTGGTGGCCCCCCATTGGTCCATCCACAACTGACCAATCCCATAATTCCTGGTATCCCAAATCTCCCAGAACTTCCATTTCCCACCATCCCATGATGCCCTGGGGCAAGGTGACCAATCCTGACATTCTCCAGAAGAACATCCCTGACCCCAAGCTGGGCCTGACCTGGTGCCCACCCATTGGTCCATCCATGGCTGACCAATCCCATAATTCCCAGCGCCCCACATATCCCACATCTTCCATTTCCCACCTTCCCATGATGCCCTGGGCCAAGGTGACCAATCCTGACGTTCTCCAGAAGAACATCCCCGACCTCAAGATGGGCCTGACCTGGTGGCCACCCATTGGTCCATCCATAGCTGACCAATCCCACAATTCCCAGTGTCCAGTCCTCCAAGACACCCTTGGGACACCCATTTCCCACCATCCCATGATGCCCTGGGGCAAGGTGACCAATCCTGAAGTTCTCCAGAAGAACATCCCCGACCCCAAGATGGACTTGGCCTGGTGGCCACCCATTGGTCCATCCACAACTGACCAATCCCACAATCCCCAGCGTCCCAAATCTCCCAGGTCTTCCATTTCCCACCTTCCCATGATGCCATGGGGCAAGGTGACCAATCCAGAGGGACATCCCTGACCCCAAGATGGACTTGGCCTGGTGGCCACCCATTGGTCCATCCATGGTTTTCCAATCCCACAATTCCCGCCATCCCAAATCTCCCAGAACTTCCATTTCCCATCATCCCATGATGCCCTGGGCCAAGGTGACCAATCCTGACGTTCTCCAGAAGAACATCCCCGACCCCAAGATGGACCTGACCTGGTGGCCACCCATTGGTCCATCCATGGCTTTCCAATCCCACAATCCCCGGCCTCCCAGCATGCCCTGGGGCACCTGCATGGCGTGGAAGGTGCGGAGCTCCTGGAACTCGAACTCCAGCTCCACGTGGGGGTGGGGCCCGGGTGGGCGTGGCCACCCCACGTAGTCGTAGCCCGGCCACAGGCGGCGCTCGCGCGTCCTCAGGAAGTCATCGAGGCCCAGGACCCCGTCCGAGAGCTGGCCCAGCCCCCCAAAGTGCAACCTGGGCAGGTGGGACACACCTGGATATGGGGATTGTCCCATCCCACCCACCTGGAGATGTCCCGGTGACACCTGGGACAGTTTGGGGACACACCTGGATATGGGGATTGTCCTGTCCCACCCACCTGGAGATGCCCCAGGGACACCTGGACACCTCAATTGTCCCATCCCCACCACCTGGAGATGCCCCAGTGACACCTGGGCAGGTGGGACACACCTGGACACCTCAATTGTCCCGTCCCACCCACCTGGAGATGCCCCAGGGACACCTGGACACCAAAATTGTCCCATCCCAAACACCTGGAGATGCCCCAGGGACACCTGGACACCACAATTATCCCATCCCACCCACCTGGAGATGCCCCAGTGACACCTGGGAACCCCCTAGTGACACGTGGATATGGGGATTGTCCCGTCCCACCCACCTGGAGATGCCCCAGTGACACCTGGGCAGGTGGGACACACCTGGACACCTCAATTGCCCCATCCCAAACACCTGGAGATGCCCCAGGGACACCTGGGCAGGTGGGACACACCTGGATATGGGGATTGTCCTGTCCCACCCACCTGGAGATGCCCCAGGGACACCTGGACACCTCAATTGTCCCGTCCCACCCACCTGGAGATGCCCCAGTGACACCTGGGACAGTTTGGGGACACCTGGACACCTCAATTGTCCCATCCCAACCACCTGGAGATGCCCCAGTGACACCTGGATATGGGGATTGTCCTGTCCCACCCACCTGGAGATGCCCCAGTGACACCTGGGCAGGTGGGACACACCTGGACACCAAAATTGTCCCGTCCCACCCACCTGGAGATGCCCCAGGGACACCTGGGCAGGTGGGACACACCTGGATATGGGGATTGTCCCGTCCCACCCACCTGGAGATCCCTCAGGGACACCTGGACACCTCAATTGTCCCATCCCAACCACCTGGAGATCCCTCAGGGACACCTGGACAGGTGGGACACACCTGGATATGGGGATTGTCCCATCCCACCCACCTGGAGATGCCCCAGGGACACCTGGGACAGTTTGGGGACACACCTGGATATGGGGATTGTCCCGTCCCACCCACCTGGAGATGCCCCAGGGACACCTGGGCAGGTGGGACACACCTGGACACCTCAATTGCCCCATCCCAACCACCTGGAGATGCCCCAGGGACACCTGGGCAGGTGGGACACACCTGGATATGGGGATTGTCCCGTCCCACCCACCTGGAGATGTCCCAGTGACACCTGGGACAGTTTGGGGACACACCTGGACACCTCAATTGTCCCGTCCCACCCACCTGGAGATGCCCCAGTGACACCTGGGCAGGTGGGACACACCTGGATATGGGGATTGTCCCGTCCCACCCACCTGGAGATGTCCCGGTGACACCTGGGCAGGTGGGACACACCTGGATATGGGGATTGTCCCGTCCCACCCACCTGGAGATGCCCCAGGGACACCTGGGACAGTTTGGGGACACACCTGGACACCTCAATTGTCCCATCCCAAACACCTGGAGATGCTCCAGTGACACCTGGGACAGTTTGGGGACACACCTGGACACCTCAATTGTCCTGTCCCACCCACCTGGAGATGCCCCAGGGACACCTGGGCAGGTGGGACACACCTGGATATGGGGATTGTCCTGTCCCACCCACCTGGAGATGCCCCAGGGACACCTGGACACCTCAATTGTCCCGTCCCCACCCACCTGGAGATGTCCCGGTGACACCTGGGCAGGTGGGACACACCTGGGGAGGGGTTGGATGCAGGAATTTTGGGAATTCTTGGGGCAGGTGGCTCCTGGGGACACCTGGAGATGGTTTGGGGACACCTGGGGACACCTGGAAAGCTCCTGGGGACACCTGGGGACACCTGGGGAGGGGCTGGGTGCAGGAATTTTGGGAATTCTTGGGGCAGGTGACCCCTGGGGACACCTGGAGACGGTCTGGGGACACCTGGGGACACCTGGAGATGGTCTGGGGACACCTGGGGACCCCTGGGGACACCTGGAAAGTTCCTGGCACAGTTTGGGGACACCTGGGGAGGGGCTGGATGCAGGAAATTTGGGAATTCTTGGGGCAGGTGACCCCTGGGGACACCTGGAGATGGTCTGGGGACACCTGGGGACACCTGGGGACACCTGGAAAGCTCCTGGGGACACCTGGAGATGGTTTGGGGACACCCGGGGACACCTGGGGACACCTGGAAAGCTCCTGGGGACACCTGGGGAGGGGTTGGGTGCAGGAATTTTGGGAATTCTTGGGGCAGGTGACCCTTGGGAACACCTGGAGACGGTTTGGGGACACCTGGGGACACTCTGAGGACCACTGGGGACACCTGGAGATGGTTTGGGGACACCTGGGGACACCTGGGGACACCTGGGGAGGGGTTGGGTGCAGGAATTTTGGGAATTCTTGGGGCAGGTGACCCCTGGGGACACCTGGAGATGGTCTGGGGACACCTGGGGACACCTGGGGACACCTGGGGACAGTTTGGGGACCCCTGGGGACACCTGGAGACGGTCTGGGGACACTCTGGGGACACCTGGGGACAGTTTGGGGACCCCTGGGGACACCTGGG